GTACAGCCATAGTAAAGCCAGAAAACCAGAAGTTGAGCTATCATAAGCCAGCAATTGTTTGCAGATCGAGAGCTGAAATGAGATGGCAAACCTCCTTGCTGGACCTCAGCTCAGGACAGGAGTGTTGCGTGACATTTCTGACGCTGTGAAAAGTTCATCTACGACCATGAAAGTACCAGGGATATTGATTTCGGGGGCACAACAGGATTTAGCAAGCCTTGGAGCTTGTTAAAAAACAATGCGCACCTGGTGCACTTATAGCTTTTCTCGCTGTTGGGTGTGAGTTCACTGACGGCTGGTTTTTCCCCGTCTTACCCACATTTATTGTTACTGTCAGAAAACCTGCCTGGAACACAGTAAATGCTGGATAACGATCATAGTTCCACTGAGGGATTGAGAAACTTTCATAGAACGGCTTGGCTCCTGTCCCACAAGGGATCTGGAGACGCTGCATGGTCCACCCTGGTCTAGGGGTTTGTCCTCACATTCCTCAGCACCAGACTTCCTTTTATACATGGGCTAGACTCAGGCTGCCCAGAGCACGAATATGGGATCTGTTTCTTGTGGGCGTATGTGTGTGCCTCATGTATGCTTGGCAAGCCACATTCCTAGCCCCGAATCTGCCTCTGATCATGTTGATAACTTTCAGCAAGTCCTTTGGGAACCAGCTTTAGGACACCAGAGCGGGGTATCTATGGTACTTGAGCTGTCAGATGGGGCACTTCTCTGTTCAGTACCTGCTACCCTGTGGGTTCAACCACGGTGAGGGTTCAGGCTGACAGTGCACAGGAAGTGCAGTGCCCAGCACAGAATCCTTTGTAAACACCGGCTTTCAGGCTTAACGGTTCCCACAGCAACTCTAGTTTTATATTGCTGTACCCATTTTATAGATGTGGAAACTGAAGGCGCGGTGGTTCAGTGAGTTATCTAAGGTCATGAATAAGGGAGGGGCTGGCTCTGGAGACTCCAGACTCTCACTACTAACACTTGGCTGTTACATAAGATGCACGAGGCCATTTTTACTAGGTAGAGAGGTTCTTCCTGGCTGGTTTGGCTCCGTTTCTCAGAATGATGTGAGCAGCCCGGGTCACCTCAGGCACTTATCTGGGATTAGCCTGGAGGAGAACCCCACTCTCCTACCAACTCGGGGAGCCCTTTCACACTGTGCACGATTGGCTCTTTTTCTCTGAGTTCCATCCTTCGGGGTGGGGTGTTGGCTTGTCACACTGAGTTTGTCAGCCCAAAGGCAGAGGTAATTGCTGGCTGAAAAGGCAAGAGGGAGGACAGGGAAGAGGAGAAGCCTTCGGGGCTTGTGATAGACACCCTTGGTTCTTCTCGAACTCTTTTGGTCAAAGGGCCCTCGAATCTGGCTGCAAGCTGGGATCCCTTGGGAAGTTCTTAATATTCAGATTCCCAAGTCCAACTCAAAACAATTACATCTGGGTTTCGCGGTGGGGGTGGGCTGTGGAACCCACACAGCAGCACGTCTTACTGCTCCCTAACCAACAGCCAATGCATGCCCAAGTTTGAGAAGTGCTAGGTACTTTGCTCACCCCTCAGCTCAGGTTGGAGGCACCTTAGGACAGCAGCACCTCCTTTCTGGGTTGGGGACTTGCTGTGTGGGGGCTGGGCGTGCCTTCCAGAGGCCCAGGCTCGTGGAGTATGTCTGGGGCTCTGTTCAGCTTAGGCCCGGCTCTGGGACTGCAGGAGCTCCAGGTGCTCTTGAGGCAACAGCATATGGGCCGCTCTGTCCTCGCTGGTCATCAATGCAGACCTCAAACGGAGCTACGCGACCGCCAGCCCACCCCAGCCTCAGACATTCTAGGGACACGCCCGAGGAATCCTACCTTGGCTGCCGGCGCTGTCCTCCAGTCCTCGGAACCCTACGACTCTGGTTCCATCTGTCTCCCTCGCCGGCTCCAGACAGGCGCCCACTAGAGCGCAGGCGCCACCTAGTGGCTGCGGGCCGGTAGCGCGGGCAGGGGCTGGGAGGTGCGAGCGCAGTGCAGGGCGGAAATGCAGCTGGGCCTTCCCACGTGGGCGGCTTCCAACACGGCGGAGCCCGGGGGCGCAGATCCGGCCTGGGCCGGACCACCTTCACCCCTTGGGGAGCGTGGGGGAACGGAATTCGTTGTACTTTTTCTTGGAGGCGTGGAGGAGTGGTCAGGCCTGGGCCTCTGACCTGGGATCCACCTTGGGATTTTCCTGGCAGGGCTCGTGGATCTTTCCCTTCCACCATCAGCTTTGAGGACAGCCTAGCGTGGCATGGTTTCTCCTTTAAACGCGCTGGGAGCATCCGAAGGTGTCCGGGACTGGGGTTTTTTCAAGTCCAGGGAAGCGGGTCCCTATCAGCAGCCCTCCCTTTCACTTCCCACCGGTTCCCTTGCTTTTTGATCCTTCTGTTACCCTAGGCTGACCTGTATAAAACACCCAGCCGGTGCCAGTGCGGGGGTGGAGTCCGCGAGACACAATTAGAACCCTTGGGAGTTGGCCACCCAGGTGGTGTTTCTCCCGGAACCTCATTAGCATGCCTTTGGCTGGTACTAGAGGTCAAATAGCATCCCCGACTCCGACTCTAGCTTCACAGGCCCGCAGCCACCCCCTTCGTCACTGTGGCTCCAAAAACACCCCTTCAGATTTCCAAATGTCTCCCCGGTTGGAGGGAGAAGAGCTCCAGGCTGAGAACTAATTAGCTGATAATTAAGATCAGATGACACTAAATGAAGTCCACTGTCTCACGGAAGTCCTGTTACCACGCTTGGCAGAGCTGAGGGGATCGTCAGGCCCATCAGGGTTTTCAGTATTTTCTAATGAAGACATGGTGAAGAGTGTTACAAAAATAGTGGATTTAGCAAAAACCAAAACAAACAAACAAAACCAAAAAGCAAGCAAACAACAAAAACAAAGAATTATGGAGGTAGAGAGTTGGTTGTACTCTGAGGCAGACTGCAGGCAGACCTGTGAGTTCTCTGCTTGGTTTACACAATGAGCTCCAAATCGGCCTCAGAAATGTAGGTGCTTGCCACACACGGTATATAGTTTTTAAGTGGTCGATTATCTAATACACTTATGTCTCATCTAGTCTTCTTTAAGTGAATATGAACTGAGCATCTGTACACCAGACACTTGTGCAAACCAGGGATCCATTCGAGAAGAACACAAAAACCTCGGCCTCCCGGTTGCCCACCTGAACTCAACCGTGGGGAAACACAAGCCCGACTAAGTTCCAGCTCGGAGTGGGAAGGTGGGCCCGAAGGTCTACACCCGAGGAGCTACTGGTATTTGATAGCCAATGGGAGAGGGATAGTCAGTTTTCTTTAAATGATTTGACACCATAGTATATTAGCCATACTGTTAGGGCAGGGGTCACATCCAAGAATAGCAAACCTACACAAACTGGCAGGGGTGGGAGGGGTGGGGTGGGGGGACCTGGGGACTGACGGGACAGCGGGACAACCAACAGTAAGTTGTATGAGTAGGATCTGGGAAGCGCTGGGTGATGAATATGATCAAAATACATTGCTGGAAATTCAAATACACACACACACACACACACACACACACACACACACACACACTCCAGACAGGGTCTCACTATGTAGCCCTTTGTTGACCTGAAATTTATTATGAAGACCAGGGTGGCCTTAAAATTGAGTCCTGAGAGTAAAGATGTACACCACCACGCCCAGCTTTAGAAAAGTTATAAAAAAATTATTAAAATAAAAAAATTCTGCCTTTTTCCAATTTACATTTAATGTAATATCTAAATGATTTGTTGTGGTTAGAATGGACCCCAGGGCCTTAAGCATGCTAGGCAAGTACTCTCTCTACCCCGAGTTAACATACCTGCCCTATGCTAACATACTTTACGGGTGTATACACACACACACACACACACACACACTCAGTGTGATACAATTGAGTTCTTCAATGTCAAGTACAGTATTTATAAAATAGTACCTATTTTCAGGGCCCCAGAGGCAGAAGGGGTGGACAGTAGATCCCTGAGCTGCTAAGTTATACAGAAAACTTCCTGGCGGTTATCCCTGTGACATTTGGTGATAGTGTCACCAGTGGAACCATGAGGCAATTTTCAAAATGTAAAGTCTAGGCCATGCATCCTGTCACCCCACCCTGTCGTCATTGCAGTCACCGTGTGTGTGTGTGTGTGTGTGTGTGTGTGTGTTTGTGTGTGTGTGTGTGTGTACACGCGCGCTCGTGTGTGCCTCCTTTATCTGTGGACTCTGTGCTGGTGTAATCTGGCCAAAGTGAATATCAAAGGCAGAAGTAAGAAGGAGAGACCTGTGGGCAATGCCTAGAAGGGCAGGGAGCAGCATGGAGGTGGTAGGTGTGTCGTAGAGGGGCCAGTCCCAGCTTGCTCATTGCCGGGGGTGGGGGGGTTGGGGGGGTGGGGGGCTGGTGGGGGGTAGAGCCATGGGGAAGGTGAACAAGTCAGAGAGAAGTGCTGAGCGGTGGTGAGGACCAGCTGGCAGGTAAATTCTTTCACTTTCAAATGCCTTGAGTCATTTCCACTGCCCTGGTTGGTCATGACCACAGCTCTCTCTTCTCTGCCATGTCCCAGTGCATGCCTGGGCAAAGTCCTAGATCACAGCTTCACCCTGGGAGGGAGGCTGATGCCTGACATGACCTACTGCGGTTGGAGCACCGAGGGCTTTCCCCTGGAAGGTGTCCTAGCATTTTCCTATTCTATGAACCATGCTGTTTTGGAAACTGCAGCTATCAACAAATGTGTTTCCTCTTAGGTTGTGGTTTCTTTGGGAGATGGCACAGTTTGCTCGGTAGAAATAATGTCAACAGTAGTAGTAAGAATAGAGCCAGGCATGATGGCTCACGCCTCTAGTACCAGCAGGATGCAGGATGCAGGAAGTTGAGGAAGTAGCTTGAACTACAAGAGACCTTGTCACAAATGAAAATCCCACAAACACCAAACAGTAACAATAACTTTTTAAAAAGAGATTTATTTTTATTTATGTGTGTGTCACTGGTGAACAAAACCAGAGTAATTCAGCAAGGCAGTTTCTTTTGTCAGTTAGGCTTACTACCTTTGTAGAAAAAAACCAACATATTTCCCACATATATGGGTGTTATGTCCCTATGAATGTTTCCCACCCACATATTTGTATGGGTGCCCACAGAGGCCAGAAGAGGACTTTTTGATCCCTCAGGGCTGGAGTTAATTATAGGAGGCTGTAGGCCAGTTGACATGGATGTTGGGAATAAAACTTGCGTCTTCTGGAAGAACAGTAAGTGCTCCCGACTGCTAAGCCACCTCTCCAAGCCCACTATCTTTATACTGTATTGGACACTAAGGACTTTAGACTTAATTTAACCCTCACAATAATCCTATTCAGTAGGCACTACTATTTTTCTCATATTAGCAGTGAAGAAAGTAGGATTTGTAATGCTGAAGTAACTGTGTACCCCAGGCTCGACTCAGGAGCACCTGCACACACAGATCAACTCCTGGTGTGTACAGCAGACCTTGATCGAGGGACCAGGCTCTTTAATTCTCAGTTTCTTGTTCGGCTCATTATTTCCTGTGGATAATTTTGTTACCTGTTGTTTTTTTTTTAAAATAAGTTCATTATGCTCTGAGATGCTACCCAGTTTTGATGTTAGAAACAATGAATTCATCTTGTAAACTGATGATACACAGGGAGGTAGGGGGAAACCCACTATTATCCAAAATGGATAGGTGTAGAAATAGGGACCCTGTGGGCACAGGCAGCAGGACAGCAGGACCTGAGACATCAGGGACACCAAAGGGACGAAGGAAGCGAGGGATTGGGTGTCCATCCCAGGACGTGTGCTTGGCCCTTGTGAGTCAGGTCCAGTGTGCTGGATGACAACTTGACTTTGGGAGTCACAGTGTGTTTATAAATGGCTGAAACTTGACAGGACACCTTCTGGTCTGGGGTTGTGATACTTAATGTTGTCAACTCGACAGGACCTAGGAGACAAGCTATGAATGATTGATTGTAGATTAGGTTGAAGAGAGAAGACCCTTTCTTAACTGTGGGCAGCAGCGTCACATGGGCTGGGGTTCTGGAGAGAATAAAAAGGAGAAAGTGGGTTGAGCACCAGCATTCATCTCTCTCCTTCTGGATTGTGGATGTGATGTGAGCAGCTGCCTAACCCTCCCGCCATCGTGCATTCCCTGCCATGACAGACTGCACCCTCAAAGTGTGAGTCAAAACAAACCCTTCCTTAAATTGCTTTAATCACAGAAACAAGACAAGTAACTGATAACAAAGGCTACACCTGACTTTCATGTTTAGCATTTGTTACAGCCGCATTTGTTTCTTGTGTGTGTGTGGAAATCAGGGGACAACTTGTGGGAGTTCTCCTCCTACGTGGCTCACGGGAACCAAGCTCAGGTTGTCTGGTTTAGCTGAGCTATATCTTGAACCGCACCCCCTTTAAAAATGCTTTTCCTTTCATGTGTCACAAGGTCAAAGAGCAGGCTGTCACAGGCATGGCCTCATCAATTCATCCCCACATCCCAGGGAACAGTTGTTATTAGCACATTCCACTGATGAGAAAACTCACTGGGATTTTAAGCAAAGGCTGAAGGCCATTCAGAAGGTCCAGCTGGGCGTCGGTGGTTCACACCTTTAATCCCAGCACTCGGGAGGCAGAGGCAAGCGGATTTCTGTGAGTTCGAGGCCAGCCTGGTCTACAGCACGCGTTCCAGGACAGCCTCCAGAACAATACAGAGAAACCCTGTCTCGAAAAACCAAAAAAAAAAAAAAAAAAAAAAAGAAGGTCCATCCAGCAGACCTTGCCTTTATCCTGGGCCCTAGGCTGGGAATTTCCCCATCTCCTTTCCCTTCCCCTCCCCTCCCCTCCCCTCCCCTTCCTCCCCTTCCCCTCCCTCCCCTCCCTTCACTTCCCCTGCTCTCCCCCTCTTCTCCTTCCTTCCCTTCCCCTCCCTTCACTTCCCCTGCTCTCCCCTCTTCTCCTTCCTTCCCTTCCCCTCCCGTCCCCCTCCCCTCCTTTTCCCTTTCCCCCTCTCCCTTCTTCTTCTGTTGTTCTGGGGTGAGTTAGTAATTTTTCTTGTCATTGTGACAAAATATATGTGACAGAAGCTCAAGGGCAGGTTAATTTGTCTCATGGCCTAAGGAGTTTTTTTTTTTTTTTTGTCACAGGAAACTGACGGAGGGAAGCTGCCCAGAAATGGAGTGGAGGATCAGGAAGTTTATTACGTCAATGGGCTCCATGGAGTTGTCTCTGTACCTGAGCAACTGCACAGAGGCTCCAGTATTTATGGTATTGACGAGGCTTTTCAGCATTATTACAAACGGTTTCATCATTGGTGGGCTTATGTGTCTACTGACCTTAGAAGATCCCAAGGCTGAGATCAAAGGAGAAATTCCTTTCTTGTGGCCAGGAGGCCTGTCTCCAGAGGCAGGTAAGGAATGTGAAAGTCCGGGCTATTGGTCCCTTCTGTAAAACAGGGTAATTGCCAGCAGCTGTTTTACCAGATAACGGTGAGTAGCTATTTTCTGCAGATGGTCTCTGCATTTGTTTCCTCCCTTTGTTTTGTTCTGACTTCATTTCCTTTCTCACCGTGGCCTAGAAAGCATGGCAGCAGGAGTGAGAGGTGGCTGGTCACATTGTATCCACAGTCAGGAAGCAGGGCGTGACAAATGCTGAGGCTCAGCTGGCGTTTTTCTTTTTCCCTCCCATTCAGCCTGGGATCCCTGCACTGGTGATTGTACTATGCACATTCAGGGTAACTTCCTCTCCTCAGTTAATCCTGTCTGGATACACTTTCTCAGACACGCTCAGGCGGGATAGCACACCAGGGGAGCTGATGTGAAGATGAACCAGAACTTGGAGGTTGGACCCAAGACCTCACATGTGCTAGGCAAGGAAACTACCACTGTGCCTTTTCACATTATACATGAAATTATACATTATATATAACATGTATTATACATATGTAAATGTAACGGGCCTCCATAAGCTCATAGGGAGTAGTACTATGAGGAGGTGTGGCTTTGTTGGAGGAAGTGTGTCACCATAGAGGTGGGCTTTGAGGTCTCCTTTGATCAGGCTCAGTGTGACCCTCAGTTCACTTCCTGTTGCCTGCAGATCAAGATGTAGGACTCTCATCTCCTTCTCCAGTACCATGTCTGCCTACATGATGCCATGTTCCACCATGATGACAATGGACTTAAAACCCCCAAACTGTAAGCCAGCCTGTAGCACAGATAATAAAAACTCAGAGACAGGTATTGGGGTTAAAGCTGAAGACCAGAGAAGCAAAGTGACCAGCTGCTAGAGAGTTCTCACCTCTACTAATGCTCAGACTGAAGATCCACTGAATCTCAGACTGCTCCCGACTGCACTGCCACTCAGACTGCATTGAGCTCATGTCTCCTCCTGGGATTAAAGGTGTGGGATCCCAAGTGCTGAGATCACCTTTGTGTGAGCTCTGTTTCTCTTTTAGAATGGATCTATTTCATGTAGCTCAGGGTGGCCTTGGACTAAGAGAGATCTGTTTGCCTCTGTCTCCCAAAGGCTGGGCTTAAAGGTGTGCACCACCACTGCCTGGCCTCTATGGCTGACTAGTGTGGCTAGCTTTGCACTCTGATCTCCAGGCAAGCTTTATTTGTTGTGTCATAAGCAAAATATCACCACACAGCCCCAATTAAATGTTTCCTTTATAAGAGTTGCTATGGTCATGGTGTTTCTTCATAAGACAACATTGAAATGTAAATAATATGTCTCTGCGGCTTTCCTTAGGCAGAGAGCTCCCTTTCTTGTATCCTTGACTCTAAATCCAGAACCATGTGGTCAAAGCTGCTGCTTGCTGGGGCTGGAACATGGCCCCCTTGTTCAATTACATCTTCATCAGCTTTCTGTGTGTGTTTTTTTTTAAACTGTTTTTATTTATTCTTTGTGTATTTCATATCTTCATATTATGTCTCCCGATTTATGTCACACCTTCAATAAAATAAAATAAATCTTAAGGAGAAAAAAACAGAAGAAGGGGGAAATTTCCTCCTGGAAGTTGAAGTATGACACAAGTGAGTCACACTATAAACCCTCTTATCCATACATTTTTACAGGCAGGCATTTATTGAAAAGAATCGTTGGTCTGGTTTGAAACGCCTGGTCTCTGCTACACCATTGATGCAGGTTCCTCACAGGGACTCTTCCTGGACATCCCATTGCTGTCCTGTGTCACAGGATCCTGCAGCCCTGGGTCCACAGGAACGACTTCCCCCACCGAAAGGGTTCCAGCAGATCACAGGCCGGGTGGATTTTAGGGTGGTCAGGACGTAGACCCTGCTTCTGGGCCTGGGTAATTGCAGGGTTGGTCAGCCCTCCAGCTCTCCCCGGTCTTTACTATCAGGGTGGGCCCTCCAGTGTTTGCCCTTGCAGGATGAACAAGGGGTGGGGCCAGTTCTCCAGATTTCAGATCCTCAGAGTCAGTTCCCCCACACCTGCACCTTCAGGGCCAGTTCTGCTGTGTTGCCCAGGAGAGATGTAGGGGCCACTCTCCTGATCATGAGTGCTGCAGCTGATGAGGACCAGGGTCAGCTCTCCTGCACTTATGACCTCAGGGCCAGCTTTTCCACGTGCCTCAAGCTTTGCTGGGGAGTGGTCTCTCTCCAACCCATGCTGCCACCTGACTGATGAGCAACAGGGACAGCTCTTCATTGCTCACAACTTCAGGACTCGCTCACCTACACCTCTACCAACAGGGTTGGCTCTAGTGTGCTTCCCAGGTGAGGTACAGGGTCTGCTTTGTTGGCAGAGGTGTGGGTGAGCCGGCCCCGACGTTGTGAGCATGGTAGAGCTGTCCCCGTTACACATTTGTCTTATGGTGGCATGGGTGGCGGGGAAATGCTCTTCTCTCCTACCAATACCCATCAATGCCTGAGGAGGTGTGAAAGCTGGACCTGAAGTCATAAGTGGAAGAGTTGTCCTTGGCCCTCATCAGCTATAACACTCAAGATAGCTTTCTGTTTCTGATGGTTTCCTTCACTGCCTAAACTTGGCTGTCCTGAAACTCAATCTGTAGACCAGGCTAGCCTCAAACTCAGAGATCTGCCAGCTTCTACCTTGTGAGTTTTGGGATGAAAGGCATTTACCACCATGCCTGGACCTAAACTGTTCTTTAATTCCTTTTCATAAGTTGGAAGCTTAGCTGGGTGGGGTCTTATTTAGTGATGCAAAGATGTGTTCATTCTTTTTATGTTGCATTTATTTAACTCTGTGAAGCTGTTACTTTGCCTGTCTAAAACACCCGATTGGTCTAATAAAGAGCTGAACAGCCAATAGCGAGTCAGGAAAGGGATAGGTGGGGCTGGCAGGCAGAGAAAAGCTGGCTAGAAACAAGCCAAGCTAAGGCTGGGCATTCATAAGTAGAAAAAAGTCTCTGGGTGATTTATTTGGGAGCTGGGTGGTGGGTTTTCAAAGAGTAAAAATCCAGGTACATTTTGGTGTTCCAGTGTGGGGCTCAAATATCCACCTAAGGCCTGAGAAAGTTGAGACACACACACACACACACACACACACACACACACACACACACACACACACAGAGAGAGAGAGAAAGAGAGAGAGAGAGAGAGAGAGTGTTCCTTTAAGAAATTCTACCATAGCCGGGTAGCACACACCTTTAATCCCAGCACTCGGGAGGCAGAGGCAGGGGGATCTCTGTGAGTTTGAGGCCAGCCTGGTCTACTACAGAGCGAATTCCAGGACAGCCTCCAAAACAATACGGAGAAAACCCTGTCTCGAAAAACAAAAACAAAGCAAAACATCAACAACAAAAAAGAGCACTGGTTGCTCTTCCAGTGGTCCTGAGTTCAATTCCCAGCATCCATATGGTGGTTCACAATTATCTGTAATGAGATCTAGTGCCCTCTTCTGGCGTGCAGGCAAACATGCAGGTAGAACACTACATAATAAATGTTAAAGAAAAAAAAGGGAAAGGATATAGACAGTCAGAAAAACATAAATAGTTTGTAAATAATAAAGCATTTAAAGATAGAAGTAAAAGTAATATATATTTAAAAAAAAGAATAAGCCACATATAGATGGGAAATACCCAGGGAGTCTGGATCCTGTATGTTGAGTTAATTTTGAATGTTTTGAATGCTGATGAGCAAACAGCAGCTGCTGACAGACATGGGATTATGAACAGGACTGCTTAATTGATCCAACCTAGGTACTTTAAGGATATCTTTTTGTTGTTGTTGTTTTTGTGGTTTCTTTTTTGTTTTGTTTTGTTTTTGAGACTGTGTGTCTCTGTGTAACAGTCCTTGCTGACCTGGCATCTGCTTATAGACCAGGATGGCTGTGGGAACACCAGACCTTGAGCAGAGACCCACTTCCCCTTCTGCCTGGGAGTAGGCAGCTGTAAGACAATGTTTAGTAAAAACATGTTTACTAAAAACGATACAATAAGTTCCTGGCCACTTCCCCTTCTGCCTGGGAGTAGGCAGCTGTAAGACAATGTTTAGTAAAAACATGTTTACTAAAAATGATACAATAAGTTCCTGGGAAAGGCCTTCCCACGGAAACCGCCCTGACCTCGACCTTGTCCAGAGACTAAACGCATCTTCAAAAACCCACACACATCCACCTCTGGTGTCAGAGCAGAACCAGCCAGGGGAGAGGAGAGAGCAGAAGCTTCTCTGGTGGGAGCTTTTCTTAGGAAGTTTTTCTTGAACCTTTTTGGAGCCTGTTTAAAGTTCTCTTTATATCGTTGAACGAGTCTCTGTGTTGTCAATCCCCGACACCCTCCGCACGTTCTCGGACACAGGCCACGCTGCAGACGTGACAATTGGAGGTCCCACTGAGATCGTGAAAGCAAGGTAAGTGGACGGGGTTAAGAAACTATGGGGAATAGTTCTGGGAAGCTAGAATCATTACAGTATCAACTAAAAAAGTTACTTAAAGAACATGGGACTGCAGTCAAGTCTAAAACCCTAGAAGGCTTTCTAAAATCCATCGAACGAGCCAGTCCATGGTTCATTACTGGGGGGAAGCTTAAATATTCCAGATTGGGAGGAGGTTCACCGTGATCTTCATAGACTTTTACGAAAAGAGGGATCTGAGTCCTTGCCCCCTACGACATTCTCCTTATGGAGATTAGTGAGGGGAGCACTTTTGACAGATAAGGTTCGTCACCACCAGGTAGTTCAGGACACAAAAGAGGCTTTTTTAGAGTTACAAGAGACTGAGACTCAAGCCTCCTTGAGTTCAGGGGAAGAGAGTGAGGAAGAGACCGTGACTGAAACTAGAGGCTCCATTGTTAGTGAGGATGAGGGGGAGTCTCTTAGTAACAACAAAAAAATGGGTAGAGATCTCCGGGCACGACCCAAAAAAGAAGGACTCCGGTCAGAATCGGTTATATCCTTCTCTATCAGACCTAGAAAATGGAAGTAGCTCAGACTCAGACTCGTCACAGTCTGAAAAGGAACGGTTACTTGCTGAGATCGCGACCCTTAAAAAAGAACTAAAAAAGATTTTAATTAAGGAAAGACAGGACAGGGAGAGAAACCCTTCCCCATACTCTGAAAAAAGGGACTCCTCCTATGAGATAACCCAGTCCTTCTCAGACCTGGAGGGAAGACCCAGAAGAGGGGTCCAATGCTGCCCGGTGGTGGCCCCAGTAATGGAAGTTCCAGATCCGAACAATTCTGGACAGGTCATTAGGCGTCATAACCCTTTAAATTTTAAGGATATAAAACAACTTAAAGAGGCAACTTTAAATTATGGAGCACAGGCTCCCTTTACACTTTCCTTAATGGAATCTTTTGCGTCTCTTAATTTGACACCTGGCGATTGGCAGCAGCTTTGCAGAGCAGCTCTGTCGGGGGGAGATTATTTGATTTGGAGAGGTGAGTTTCAGGAAAGATGCAGCCAGACAGCCCAAAGGAATGCACAGGCCGGACAGCCCCAGAGAAATGTGGAGATGCTTACCGGGAGTGGTCAATACGCCACCATTCAGCAACAAATGCAATATGACATCGCAGTCTATGCCCAAGTGGCAGCAGCGGCCCAAGGGGCTTGGAAAGCATTGCCTTCCAAGGAAGGAGGGGATCATCTGTCCAAAATCCTTCAAGGACCTTCTGAACCTTTTCAAGACTTCGTGAGACCGTCTCAGTCAGGTAGCAGAAAGAATATTTGGGGGCATTGGGCCTGCGATGCCAGTCATAAAGCAGATGGCATTTGAAAATGCAAATAAATATTGTAAGGAAGCCCTTCGCCCCTATCGCAATAAAAGTCTAAATGACTATATCCGGATCTGTAGGGACATTGATGGGAACTTCATCCAGGGCCAAGTGTTAGCTGCTGCTATGCGGCCCCAAGTGGGGAAAAAAAGACCTACTCTGGGAGGGAGAAAAACATGTTTTAGCTGCGGTAGGGAGGGACACTTCCGTAGAGAGTGCCCTCAAAATAGTACTGCGGGTCTCAAGAGACCTGGTTTATGCCCCCGTTGTCGAAGGGGATATCATTGGGC